GCCAACGAAGCTAGTGATGTCATGGGATGCGGTCAGAGACGTCTGACTGTGTACCTGCCAGAAACTGTTGCTCACGCTGTTCCAATCTCTCTTGTTTGCTTCCATGGTGGTTCCACGATACTTCCCCCTAAACCTTTTCCTCCCCAGCAGCGCTGCAGCTTGAGCCGCTTCGTCACAGCAGTCAAGAGAAACAACCATTGTTCAAACACCTACAATTTCTCGGACTTTTCGCCATGCTGTTCCACCGCCATCCTTCCCATCGTGGTAACTGAGTTCACTGAATACAAGTGTCAGAGTGTGTGTGGGGGGGGGTCATTTTTTGCACCCACGCTTGCTCAAGAACGTGCCTCACCTGGGCGATGGCTTGCTGAGGACTTCGACGTGCTGCAAGGCAATCCCTTCAGCTCCTTGATTCTATCACTAACTTTGGCTGATACAAGAAAGCTAGCTGTGCATCCTGGCGGGTTGAGAACCCGTTCGTTTCTGGTTTGTCGTAGTTCTTTTCAGGATTTCAGGTGGGGTCCCAAATCACGGGAGGGGATTCCATGGCCTTGACCGAAGATGACCTCCACCACAAGTAGTGATCACTGTGATTTATCATGTCCATTTGTCCCTCAGTCGGGGTGTTGACCTAGACCCAGTTGACATGAACATCAAAGACAATACATGACATCGATCAGGCCCTGAGAGCATTGTCATAAGGTTCGTGCCCGGGTTGCAAAATTCATCGGGGCTTCTACAAGTCCTGGAAGAGCTTGGAAGCTCAAACGATACAAGCTCTGAAAGATCTCGAATGCACCTTTGAGTTGCAACAAGTTGTTTCTCACCGAGCTATTACTGCTGGGATGCATGGTTCGCCCCACACTAAGACACTAATCAACTATAGGGATTTTCGTTTAAGGCCTTAGGGTTTAAGGTTTGCACTGGTATTGGCACGGAATTGCTGAGAATGATTGAGAATGTGATCATTGTTGAGCGTGAACATTATGAATTGCCAAACCCGATGACAAAGCTTCAAATGCCTAAAGTCCCTTTCTGATTGTTATTCACACCGCTTCGCGGTCGAAGCCGCCCGCACGGATACTTGTGCTCTCTGAGCCGGGAAGCAGCAGCAATAGCAGCAAAGCAGCAGCAACAACCAAACAGCAGGCAGCAGCAAAGCAGGAGCAGCCACAGACCACCAAGCAGCAGCAGCCGCAGCAGCAAATAGCAGCAACAAGCAACCAGCAGCAAAGCCGCTGTTGGTTTGGTGTAAACCGTGGTTGGTGTAAACCGTGGCTGGCGCAAACCGTGGTTTGGTGTAAACGGTGGTTGGTGCAAGCCGTGGTTTGATATACTGTAAACGGTGGTTGGTGCAAGCCGTGGTTTGGTGTAAACGGTGGTTGGTGTAAACCGTTGCTTGGTTTGGATATGTTTGGTATAAACGGCGGTTGGTGCAAATCGTCGTTTGGTGTGAAGAGTGGTTGGTGCAAACCGTGGTTCGGTTCAAGCGGTGGCTGGTGTAAAGCGTGGCTTGGTGTATACGGTGGTTACTTTCGGGAAGGCCACGCGGACAAGCACGCGCACGATGTCAATAATTAATGCAGTCGCCCTCGGGCAGCACAACCGACATCACCGATGGATTGCTGATATTTCGTCCGTGCTTGAAAACATCAAACACATGCGTTCTAGAGCCAAAACTGGCGCCCCCGCCTTAAGCTGTTTATCAAGCTGATCTTCCAGCGCCTGCGGCGCGGGCGGCTTCACAGGTAATTTGCCGCCCCCTCACAGTTCTTTGGGGGCAAACCATGTGCTGGCTTGGTAACTTTCTACCGCCCATGGCCAGAGGTGAGGCGAGCCCCTTGCGCATCTCGGGCCACTCGCTGGGCGGTTCCATGGCGATGCTGGCCGCCTTCGAGTTGTCAAAGAACTACACCATCAAGGTGACACTTGGGACTTTTGGGACTGGTAAGATTGGCCCAACCAACTCCCAAGAATCGTTTTGGCCAACCCTTCCTATATCCTGTGCAGGCCTTATTGGACGTGTACTGAAGAGCGTCATTCATGTTCCATGGGAAATTTCCACACTTTGCGAAGCATGCGCTGTTGAATGTTTAAATGCCAGGAAGTCTACACCTTTGGGCAGCCCCGCCACCTGGCTCCACTTATGGTTTTCAGGGCGGACCTCACTTGAGCAATCACACGGTCGAATGAACTGACTTGGGTCATCGGACTGTGCAAGCTTGACCACCGGAATAACGGCAGTTTCCAGACTGCATGTGACTGTGACTTAACTTATATACTTGACTTGCAGGCCACATGTCAAAAGTAGGACCCCGGGCTTTGCCAAGGTGTTGGCAATGATGACTGGGTCCAAGCATTTCAGAAGAGAATGGTCAATGTGCCCTACTTCAGGGCCGGGCTTTGTTTGCAGGGTGACGTGTGACAATGATTTCGCCAATGATCGGCGGCGCAGGTCGTGGATTTCATGGACCCCGTGCCTCACTTACCTCCCAGTTGGCTATTTGGGTATCGTCATGCTGGTCCAGAGGCAGGTGGTTATGAAGATTGTGAGTCAAAACCTCGAACTAGAGGCACTAGAGCCTTTTGGTTTCAGATCAGGACGCAGGCCCATTTCACATGAAAACCTGCTTGCTGCAGTGTGCTGGTTGGAGGGGCAAGCGCACAAGTTCCCTTCCCTTACAGATGCCAGGTGTGGTACAATGCTACGCAGCTGAAGCATTGGAGAATTTGCAGTGACTTGATGAATGCACGGTGTATCAAGGTGTTTTGAACGGCTTGCTCGTGATAGCTTGCCCAAACACTGCCAGACGTGCTTTGCCTTCTTCGGCGGTTCCGAGGTGATGCAGAGAAAGACCAATGTAGTGGGCAATTCCCTCTTTGGCGTTGTTTGTTTCATACCTGCGACCACTGCTCCTATTTGGGCATGCGGCTCGGCGGCGGTGTGAGGCAAGGCAGGCGGAACTGCATTTCGCAAGCCCCTTGCCCCTTCGAAAGATTTGGAATGAGGTGTCTCGCCCCCTGGCTTTGTAATATCATATTCTTAACAGTGACAGTAGCACATGGGACAGCTCCCTGCAAAACCCTGAGGAACCCCTGCAATGCCAATGATGCTCAGCCGGCGTGCATGCAAGGAAACGCAGCTGCAGCTAAGCCCTTGTTGCGTTGTGATAAGCACAGACATGTGTTTGAGACATAAGTTGGAGTTTGGCGCTGCGCTACTTTGCTAGATCTTTGGCTGAGGCGATCTGAATTAAAGGGTTTTCTCGGCACAGACAAGCGCAGCGACTGCACAGATGGCTGTGAAAGAGTCTTCAGGAGTCCAGGCTTGCCGCGTGACTTGAAAAAGCCAGAAGCGCGACTCTCATGCGCCAATGCTGCCCTGCTGTGCCGGAGAATGCCCGTTGTACAGGTCTGCTACATCGCTTTGACCCCTAATAGGCAAAAGGCCTACATAATGTAAAGCTACACCCAGGAAGTCCTGGGCATTGTGTAGAGGGGTGCATGTGCAGACAAAAGTCGCCCCAGAGGCCTAGAGCGTATATAGAGATTCATATGGACCTTTTGACTACTTAACCGTGCGGTATGAGCACATTTATTTGCCTTTGCTTTTGATGCACTTCCAAGCGTGGAACCTTTGCAGAGCAGTGGGACTAAAAGATGGGCATGAAAGCATCAGGGTGAGCAGATGAATTGGAAGGTCGTGGATAGTGACAAGTATCGAGGGATGGGCAACTTGTAGAGAGCCCAAGAGACAGTGGATCACGACAATGTAAGATAGCTCTGTCGAATGCCCTCACCCAAACAATCACACTCACACTCCCCACCTCCTTGAAGCTAGAAAAGCAATTTTCCCCGGTTTTTGAGTTTTGGGTTTGCTTTCGAGAGACTGTGGCTTTAGCGACAGATGCTCATTCTCGTGAACCTCCACAAGCCCAATCATGATCCAGGCCTCTTTGCATACTGGAAGTTCGGCTGAGGTATGAGGCTTTGGACACTGATTTGGAAGCTGCGAAAAAGGCTGTGGATGCAGCAGCCTCAGTCCTTTTCACGTCAAAAGTTAGTTGCAAGATCGGGTGGGAGTGGGCGGACTTGTACCTACCGGTTAGGTGCTGTATGACCCAAGGCCAGCGGATCATTGGCAGCCGAGCCAGACGCTGATGTAGGTGGAACATCCGGGTCAAGATTGTAAAGGTGAAAAGATCTAGTACACACTTGCTACTACTAGTAAGAATGCTCCTAGCAGCGATGCCAGCAGCCCCTAGTAGCGTCCTTGCTCCTAGTAGTAAGGCCAGGAGCCCCTAGTAGGAGTATATAGATGATTTGTGGCTTGCTCCTATCTCGTGTCTAATGTAAGCAATCACGATCATGGGAGTCCGGAGCCAGTTGAACCTTGTGCACTATCTTCCCCGTCCATGAGACCCAGCCCTAGCCCAACTTGCCAAATGCTTTGAAGGAGAAACGCTTAGCCCGACTTGCTATGTTAGTTCACGTGAGCAGTTAAATGACACCTCCATTGTCCAGGCCGGCATGTGGTCGAACAGGTGGTCCGGGAGCAGAAGCAGAGCCTGGAGCTCTCAGAGTTTCAGAGATACCAGACATGATGAGTCCGTCTAAGTCGGAACCTCCAATGACAATTTGCTTCAATACGGTGGCCTCCAACCTAACAGCGATGGCCTCCAACCTAGTACTGTGATGTATCTCAACTTGTTGAACTCTTTTGTGTTCCTCGCGCGTGTCGAGTTGTGGAAACCGTCGTACTACCTTCCCGGAGGTCATCAAATACATGGGTTATACAATATATATTTATTTACTGTAGTTAGTTAGTACCCCCCAAGACCTACCTTTTTACACTTTACGGTTGTGTTTGCATGTCGAGGTCATTTTTTGAGGCCTTTGAGGGAGTGCGGGGGATTATGTAGATATGCATACTGCACATATTGCATACACACGTGTCGAAGCCCAAAAGGTGTGCAAGCACATCCCAAAATTTTGCAAATGTTTCTGAATTTTGGATTCTGGGGAAAATTGAGTCCAACCCCTCGAATGTTGGGGTTCTGGATGTCAGTCAGGGCTTGGATTCAAGAACTTCTTCCCAGAATCTTGAATCATAGAAACCTTGCAAAATTGGACAGTTTCCTGAAACCATCTGAAACCCGAAGCTTGAAATAAAGAACATGATAGAACCAACATATATTACATGAAATATGACATGTATCTTAAGAACGGTTCATCTACATAAATCGTTGAGAAGTTTTTTCATATACAACTGACATCAGTGGTTATATATAACTTATAACATTGCCTTTCTAAATAAGACCCTGTAAACATATATCTAATGAAATCAGGAAACTATAAAATAAACTATGTGTCACTTATATATATCATATATTCTTTCATACTCGTTTGTCTTATTTCATTATATTTAATACTATTTTGTGCTCTTTTATATTCTATAATAATATATTATATATATGTATATATTTGTTAAATACTTGTTTAATTATCACTATTCTATGCTTTGTAATGTGTTTTAGACTAAACTCTAATTTGAATTCAACTGTCGTGCGAATGGGTGCGCTTCGTCGGAGCGTCGGAGCACGCGCGCTAGAGCGTTTGATAGGGGCAAAAAAGGTGGAGTAAGGCGCCAATATTATTCCCATAGCTTCCCAGACAGTGTCACTTTTTTTACACTTTTTAATGCTTTTTTAATGCTTTGGGGAACCCAGTGCAACCGGGGCGGCCGGCCAGTGACCAGTGACTCCCAGTGAGTGCTGTCGAAATCATCAAAAAGAAGCGTAAAACAGTCACACCCCCTCATTAAGACCCCTTCATCTTGCAGCTATGAATACTAGGTAATGGATACTACCAAACAGTATTGCAAAGGACGTCAGAATAACAACACATTAGAGAGATTTACTGAAGGGTTTACAACCTGCGACAGTTGTAGAGCCAAACAATCAATCAAGAAGATATTACAATAACTGGTCTTCACCCACAACTGTACACATCTTCACAATATGCCTGGCAAGCTCAAAAAGGTAGGTTTGGGGGGGGAGGTAATATATATATATATATTGCATATGCTGCCAGCATCGGCAGCAGAGTGCTCAGGCGCCGCAAGTTGCTTGAAAGCCGTTGAGAAGGCTTTGAATGCTGACCGTGGGCCGCTTGAGGAGCTGGTGGAAGCCCAACAGGCCGACAAACTGTGGGCGCAAATGGACGTGTGTCATAAAGGCATGTGCTGATCATCATGATGTTCTTTTGGGAAAAAGCATGATCGAACTTCTTCAAGAAAAACATGGAAACTGATGATGAGAATGTTTGACTATGTCGTTTCTGTTTAGAGTTTAAACTCCAAATTTGGTTTGGAATCAGCTTGCAAGGCTTGGTCGTGTGTCCCGTCGACGGCCTACCCACGAAGGATCCGGGCACCGTGAAGAGCAATGCCTCACACCGGTCACGACGCACTGAGGCCATGGTTGCCACTGTTTTGATGTGTTTCTTTCGGATGTGGCGACATGGTACAGCTATGGGGGGAGCCTAGGCAAATTACTGGGGTGGCATCGTGGATTACTTCGTTTCATTTATGTATTTGAGACTAATTAATTGTCAACGAGAAGCCTAGATAGGTTTAGCAATGTTTAGCATAACATATATAGAACGAGTAACTAGAGAACCTTTACGGCTCGTGTTTAAAGAAATGTGGACAACATGGTTGGATTAATTTCAGAGCCTCCCCCACCTCAAAGAAGGATGTCGAAGATATGGAAAGATGTGGCAAGTGATGGCAGATGTTGTCACAGTGAATATTTGTGATGACTTGTGAAGCCGTATGGAATATATTATATACAGAGGACAGGCATGACACAGATTGCGTAGGGTGTTTGTGATGATCATGCGCGACGCATTCGATTTGGCACCTGGATTAATGTTTAGCCTTCCTCCAGCTTCCTGGATTACTGCAATTTGTTGCTATAAATCAACCCCGAACCACCGCTTGGATTAGTTTCAGCCATGTATGTGCAAGTATAGCGGACTAATAGTAGAATTGATCCAGGGAGTCTGCTGGGTGAGGGTACCTCAGGGTACCAGCCATGTGCAGCTGACAGGCGGCTGCTCAGGTTCAAACTTGGGATGTTCTGGAAGAAGCGTCAGGCACCCTTCGCTAAGTTGTCTAAGCGGAGATTTATGTTTCTTCTTGTGCATGTTTCTTTTTGATCCTGGTATTTACCCTGAAGATCCCTGAAGGTCTTTTGGAGTCCTTCAAGAACAAGGGTGCTGTGCCCCAGAGTCTTGCAAGTTCTTGCGCTTGTCGAGAAAGGAGGCAGTTCAGCGCACCCCCAAGGATCCACCAACTCGACCACTGCCGTGCAGTCGTTGAAGCAGATGCACGTGGAGGCGCTGCACTGAGCAGTTGAAAGTCACGCCACACTCGTTTTTTTCTTCATACTGTTCGTATGTGCAAAGCCATGCTTCAGGGATGGAGAAGCAATAGCAGTAGCAACATGTAGCAACAATTTACTGTAGCTTGGAGTTCGGCCACTTTGCAGGCATCCAAGCAGTTGCGTAACATTTCTGCATCCCAGAAGACTGAAGAGAAGTCAGAGGATGACAAGGCCGGTCAAGTTCAAAACATTCACTGCAGCATTGCACTATGTCGGCTGCGGCATCTTGTAGCATCTCCAGGGTCAGCCCGCGAAACGCGATGCTGGATGCCAAACCGTCTTCCGGCTCGGCGGAATGGCCACACCCTCGGCCAAAAGGTTGGTGTCTCGAGTGCAACTCGCCACGTGCCAAGGCCTGGCATTCCAATCCTGCGATCCAGAAGCTGCGCCTTGGCTGAACGAATGCAGGATGCCTCCGAGCGGTTTCAAGATGTTTCAAGGGTGTGGTGGTTGAGCAGTTTTCGAGCTGTCAAGTGTAAGAGTGCCAAGGCTTGAAGACTTGCTCAAGGCTGGGGAACTGCAACCCCGTATTGCGGGCTCCAATGCTTTTCAGATCAAAAGCGATGGTCAATGTCAATCCAAGAAGTTAAGCCTGGGAACGAGTGAGGCCTATGGATTGACGAAATCAATCATGCAGTCAAGGGATGTCAAGGGTCAGGGTTGGAGTCGAAAGGTGGATTACGGAGAGACGAGCGCAATGATCCACCGGTCCAATGTTAAGTTTCCCTAAACATCTAGAAACCAAATCATTATTAATAGTGCGAGCGCTTCTCTTGAAGAAGCGTGAGCTATCCTGCGTCCTAAGTAGCGGCTACTTAAGCTACTAGCTACCTTTTCTACTAGCCACCTAGCTATTACCTCCTAGCGGCCTACCCCCCCAAAAAGTCGTTCCAGGTCTCCTCTGGAGATACGCCGTCCTCAAAGACACGGCAAACTGAGAACCTGGATGAGCAGGCTCCCGACATGCCTTTGGAGAACCATACTCCGCTTTGACAAAGAAAAGGCATGTTGCAAGCCCTGGCCAACAAAACTGCCAAGTTGCCAAGCAGTGTTTCTTGAAGCCGTGCTTTGTCAGGTTTCTGAGATCATGAACCAGTGGCGAAGGGATTTCATTGAGAAGGACAAGCAACGTGAGCAACGTAGGTCGCGGTCTGTCAGTCAGGGGCCTTAGTGTGAATTTGTTCCATGCAACCCAAGCTTGGCGACGTGGCGAGGATGTTTAGAAACTCAGGGATCCCTGCGATTCAGAGTCATGGACACCCAAACTGACAGCCAACAGATGTTAAGTGCACTTACAGGTCCTCCCCCGTCCAGCTGGAAACTATAGCGATGGCCCAGGCAAAGGCCGCCCAGTGGTGCCGGAAGCGCCGGCCACATCTGCACAGCCGCGGGCGCCAGTGCCACCACTGCCACCACCGCAGCTGTGACTTGGCTGTACTGTACACAGCAGACCCCAAAAGGACCCTTTCGGTTCAAACACAGCAAGCCCGGTAGACTTACCGACTTACCCTCATGTTCTGATATGTTCTGTATCCCAAGTGGTGCCGGATGTCTTCCCCCTCCAGTTGTTTTTTTCCATAATTTGAAGGCATATGCAGCATAGCATACCATATCCCACCATCACCATTTTGTCAATGAGTGTTCCGTTTCGCGGAAGATTAACAATGAAGCAGAACATCGACGCGTGGCCTATCCCCAAGCAGCGAGCCGACAAATCTGGCCATGCCAAGGTTGGAGGCCGATTTGGCCAACGCGGCACAGAAGAAACAGGTCGAGTCCCCTCCTGCTCCACCAAGCTGGGAAGTCAAGCGTGACGAGGCGAGGGGTCAGGATGCATGTCCTGTTTGCTGTGTGTTGCTGTGTTTTTTTGGACGCTTTTCCTCCACCTTCTGACCTGTGTTCAGGTGAAGGTAGAGACGGAGTCCGTAAGTGTTCAAAGCTCACCGTCTTGGCCCCAGCAATCTCATTATGATTCATTGCGGACAAATACTCTCAATGTTTGCTCCACCGCTTGCTTCATCTCAACAGTAAACTCTTGACTTTAGTTGTGTGACAGGTTTGAGAGCAAAGGTGGGCCAGAGGCTGGGAATCAAAAGATGAACTTCAGATTCAGCGACTTCGCCTTCTTGTGCCCCTCGGGACGAGGCAGAGAAGCGCGACGATGGCAGGAGATACAAGCCACAAACAACCCCTGACTTGACATGTGGGAGGAAGATCAAACAAAAATAACCCAGATGATTGATGATGATGATGATGATGATGATGATGATGATGATGATGTGATAGGATTCTTACAGTAAATAGTATATAAATTGTTTCCAATCAGTGCGATCGGTCCAGTAGAAATTGTGTGGTTCACGCAAAGCTTGGCTTCCAGTATTCCATTTGCATCTCATTGAGATTCTCGGGAAGGAATGAATTTGACCCGCTTGATGAGTGCCCCTCCGCGAGGAAGAACTCCAAGACTGGGCTGCCTGCTGGAAGGTCGGCTGCCGAATCAGGATTTTGTGTTCCTGCTCTTGGGAGTTTGATCTCAACGTTATATGATGTTATATATGTTATATCTTTGTTCAACATTGCTACTAGTAGTAATGCCCGTGTTACTAGTAGCGATGCACTTGTTACTAGTAGCTTCGTGCTACTAGTAGTTATGCCCTTAAATATACTAATGATATATATATACATATGGTACCCCCCCAAATGTCTACCTTTTTTAGTGTTTATTTGTATTTGCGGTGTTTTATGCACATTGTATCTGTTTTGTTTGGGGGTATGCATACACATATATATATATATACACTTATAAATATATATATATATATGTAAATATACATAAACATAAATCTCCTCTGTCGCTCCTTGGCTCAGGCTGGCCAATGCAGAGAACCGGAATCGAGACCGGGCAGAGCCAGTGGGAGAGGAGGGTGAGAAGCTGGGGCGATCCTCCAGCCGACCTCGAAGGCGACATGGGGAAACTCCCTGAGAACACGGTCTATATATGCTCAAAGCAAGTCCATTTGGCGACACAGACGATGTGAGGGTTGTGAGACGTTTAAACTGAGTGAAAGTTTGATGGCGTTTCTAAGATGTACGCGGCTGTCCACCAGGCGACGCAGTGAAAGCCGCGATGAAGCAGGCTTGAAGATGAAGCTGACATGGAGAGTTTAGACGTGCCATCATTGGTGGCAATATTCCAGGCTTGTTTTTCATGGCAGAAGCTTGTGGACAGGTGCGGTCAGCATGGATTCCTCCCAAATTCCGGGTCAGCCATCACCTCGTGGAAGTGACGATGGGGCACCTTTCGAGGATCGCTGAATTGCACAGATGCCGGCATTGGGTGCCCTATCGACTACTGAAGGCTTTTTGCTCGCTATACCCACGCATGTATATTTGTCACATGACAATCATAACATAGTCTACATTGATTTTCCTTTGTGTTTCGATAATATCCGCTTCGTGCAACAAACAGCTGGCTCAAAGTCTAGAAGCCGAGAAGACGCCGCCATGGGCGGAACTCAGGCCCGCGAGGAGGAACTTCAGGATGATGTTTTTCCCTGGTTTCATTTGATCCAGTGGAGTGCAGAAGATGCAAGCAACAACCGCATTTTTCACTATGACTTGGCCGGTGCACAAGAGGCAGCACGTGCATTGACCAGAGACACCGACAGCTTTCTCCGACTTTGTCCAAGCAGTTTGCCGCCCAATTCAGGTCAGCTTCGCTTCCGAAGCCTTCCTGCCTTGTAACATATAGTACAGTAAACCTCAATTCGATAAGCTTCTGAATGGCTATCATGGTCCCATGGTAGAGTCTATGTCTCTAAGATTCCAATATCACCTTTGAAAGGTAAAGACACAGGCCACACATATTGTGTGGCGAAATTGTATAAAAGCACTAACGGTCCTAACGGTCGTATTGAGCAGCACAAGTCGACCAGGCTTCACCATGGATGACAGCACCAACTTCGCTGAGTGGGCGGGTGCTTTGCTCGAATGGAACTCAGAGCTCCGGAGGGTCCGGTTTGAGCTGGTACCACGAAGGCGTTGGCCTTTTCCATATTTTGTTTCTCAACTTAGGGGACCCACCTCCACCAAATGGAACCCCGGCAAAACGTGGAAAACAAGGAGGAGAGAGACAGAAGCACCCTGAGGTTGACCGAAAACGGCTTTTGGAGCCGATATTTCGCAGCCTTGCGCCGGGAAATTCAGCAGCTGATCTTTCACGATGAGGACACCGAAGAGGGACAACACCCCCTGGCAAATGGAGATGGGTCTGAGTCTGGTGGTTGAGCCACTACAGGAGGCGCAGGCGGGAGTTGGCTGGAAGATTGCTGTCTCGGTGTTGAGGCTAGATTGAAGGTGGGCGTCTCCTTTTTGCCATACTTACAGCGCCGGATTGCTTGACATGCAGCGCCGAGAAGGTTGCCCTGGGGATACAGTACATCTATGTGGCCACATTTCCCAGCTGCTCCAGCAAGAGAAGCCTTTATTTGGCTTGAGCCGTCACAATGTCAAACGCCAGCTGAAGGGCGACGGAAGCACTTGTCAGGCCTGGAGATGGACCGTGAAGCTTCTGATGCTGGCTTTTGTCTCACAGTTGTGAGTGCTTGGGTCAAATCTTACTGTCAAGTGATCAGTACTCAACACTCGGCCCGTAGCTGGAGGAAAAATGAGAAAAGTTAATTGCGGACGAGTTTCCTTGGTCCTCTCAGCTCATAACTCTGGGTCTACCCGTTGTGACTCAGCGACTTGAAGAAAAGATCCCATCAATGGCGATGTTCATCATTTTCATCCATCTTCATAATAAGTTATAATGTAATAATGTGTGTTCACAGTCCATTACATTCCCTGGTACTCGTAGGATTCTATTGTATTCTGTTGTATTGACTGGGTGCCTGTGTGTAGCCGTACCTGCTGCTTGGTGTAGCATGCCGCTTCGACTATGCAGGACCTCCCACGTGGCAGATCTCGTCCGGAGCAGGTCACTCCTCAGGTTGGGCATCTCCATAAACACTTCCTCTTCTTCGATTCTAAACTCCTTAAGACCTCAAAAAGCCTTTAAAGGGAACAGGACATATCATTGAGGCTTTGTTGCCACTTTGAGTCTCAAAGTGTTGGCCTCGACTGAGTCACTTTCAGCCAGACCTGCCCTCCACTTTTCCCTTCAATGCTTCACAGCTGAGCGTGAGTCTAGGGGGGCCTTCATGAGTCACTTGCAAATCGAAACAAGAAGGCTTTTTGTCCTACACAAATGTACACAAATCATGAGTGGTTTGATGATTTGACCACAGCTCATCAAGTGATCTCAACAATTGTTAATTGATGTTTTTTGCATTTCGCAGTCGGATGACCTCGACCGCCTGGAGCAGACCCCAAACGAGATGACTGGCACCGGCACCTCGGTTGGCGAGGGGTTTCGATTTTGTTGGTCGGTGTCACAAAGCCATGCGAAAATGACCGGAAAGATTCAGAAAGGCAAAGGCTTGCATCCCAAGATTTCAACTATGCCGACTATACAAGCTTCTGTTAACGCTGCCCGTTCCTGCTCCCTCGGGCGCTTCATTTTCTTCCATACGTGCTCGGGGCGCATGTTTTTAGGGGGACATGGAATGCGGCCCCGCAGACACAGCAAGTTTCAAATTATTCAAGCGACGCCTCCTCGTTCTGTGTCCTCACGTTCCTCCAGGTAGCCAGCCCTTGCGCTCAGAGTCCAAGGAGGGGTTTGGTCACTGCGAATGGCTAGCAGCTACAGAAAACGTTTGACCTTGTACCTTATGGCACCAAAGGCATCCAAGCTGGCTTGGGGGGGGTTGAGTGTCCAGGTGAATACACGAGAAATCTAAAATATGTATATTGAATAGCAAATAATAGCAATGTATATGTATGCAGACATGTGCATACAGCACCTATAGTTGCATATATTTATATATAATATAGAGGTTGCTTGATTGCTCAGAGTTGAATTTGTTGCTGATTAATCAACAGAACACTCCTGGGAGTCATTGGGGGTGAGACCAAAACAGCCCAGCGAGCTGAAAGCTGATAGTGCAAACATGTTGCGTCGATCCCAACTGGCAATGCAGAACTCCGCCATTTTATCCTCGGAGCCAGTGGGTAAACGTGGAGGCCGGTCAGACGGTGTCCAGTGTGTTTGTTGGTCTCTCTACTTCGCAGCGCCGAGAAGTCAAAGTATGTCAAAGTACCAGACAACAAATTTGCTGCTGTGCAGCTGCCATCGTAATTAGCAAACGAGCCAAGTTTCTATTGGCCCGTCATTTATTTTTGCTTTGAGTCCATCTTATTAAATCGGGCCAATCTTTACCAGCTTGAGCACTCATGTTGCACTAATGTTGCTGAAAGCTATTTTCACCACTTTCAATTCATTTCTTAGCTCATGGGCTCATGTCAGATGTCAAAGCCATTGGAATCCATTGGGTCTGTAGTCTGTTGAGTCATCCACCTTCTCCGCTTTGTCCACGAGTCTTCTGGCAGGGCCCGGAGATGGCAGCCTCTTGGTGCCACCACCCTCCGCAGATGTCTCGCGGCCGTGGCCACAGGAAGTCGAAGCAAGTTCGGGGTGGTCATTGTAGCGATGCACTTGTTACTAGTAGCTTCTTGTTACTAGTAGTGATGGCCTCCAACCTAATAACGATGGCCCCCAACCTAGTAGCTTCTTGTTATAAGCAATGCTCATCGTTTTTGAACATTATAAGGGGTTACTGTAGTTATATAAATCAGATGGCTCTTCAGCCTCCACAAAGGAGGGCGAGCACTCGCTTGTGCACTTGAAATTTACCTCGCTTGTGCACTTGCAAATTTACCTCGCTTGTGCATTTTTTCTACTAGTACTACTACTACTACTACTACTCCTTACTACTGCTACTACTACTACTACTCCTACTACTACTACTACTACCACTACCACTACCACTACCACTACCACTACCACTATACTACCACAACTACCACTACTACAAGTACTACTCCTACTACTACTGCTACTACTGCTACTACTACATCATACTACTGCGACGAAGACCACGACGACGACGACGACCGCGAAGACGCAGACGAATAGTACTACCACGACGACGACGACGACGACGACGACGACTACTACTACTACTACCTTTACCACTACCATTACTACTACTACTACTACTACTACAACATCATAGTACTCACTAACTAGCTAGCTTGCTAGCTAACTAGTTAACTAGCTATCTATTTAACAAACAAACTAACTAACTAACTAGATCAGACACAGAACATCTGTATCACATGGTTCTTTGGAAGCACATATTCAATAAAGATCATCACGTGGAAGAATGTCAACAAAGACGTTATTAACCCCCCCACCCCCCCCCCCCCCCCCCCACCCACCCACTTCACCCCAACAAGATATGTAATTTTAATGAGCAGTTGTGTTCAGTAACCTCACCTAATTACATGTCAGGTGCAAGAACTTACATTGTTTGGTGGTTGAGTATCTTTTCATTTTCTCCTACCCCCCCACCCAATAGATTGTTGGTGGTTGAATGTCCTTTCACCTTCACTTTCCCCCTGAAAGTGTGCAAGTGAGTGCTAAGTGCGCAAGTGAGGTTATTTGGGGGTGCGCAAGTGAGTGCTTGGCCCACAAAGGATGGCTTCTAGTGGCAGGATCCTGACAAAAATCACCTGTCAAATACATTTATATTCTGTTATGATTAGACTGGGAAGGGACGCATTTCAGAGCCCTTGGGCGCCATTGGGCCGCTAAGGTCTGCAAGTCCAGCATCTTCTGCAAGCTCTCATTCGCCAGGAGTTCAGTGTCGGTGTTATTTGCCAAGCGGCAGCGGCAGCGTAAAAAAACGCAACATTTGAGCCGCATTTGATTTCAAATTGTGGTTGAGATGAGCAACAGCAAAAGAGGACTAAAGTGACTAACACTTTAGTAGAACTGTCTTCAGCGCTTTGTATCAGATAAGGCTCATGATGAGAACAGATGCGTTCCACCGGCAGGACACACCCCTCGCCGATTGGATCCCCTTGTCAGGCGGGACTTGTATCCGATGGTTAGCATTTGAAGATACGTGACGGTTTGACGATTTTTGAAGCCACTTAGCCACTTAGCTGTTGTTCTCCTTCATTTGAAGATCGCATTTTCTTGGTTGTTGCTTAGCTGCTTCGTGGTGAACCATACCAAGCACTTTCGTTGGATGCGTTAGTCCAGTTAGTTGTGATGACCCAGGCCAAGAGGGCCTCCTTTGCCATCGGCCGGGCGTTTACTCATGTCTTCGCAGCAGGAGCCAAGACTGGGCAGGGCACACAGCTGCAGGGTACACCACACGTTCACATTGCTGATTTCCTCACCACCTCCTGCTGACCGATCTCTGACTATTTGCCGGTCCTGTGTAGACTTGCCAAAGTGATGCAACTGCTTTGGATGGATCACTCACACTCATCCCCAAACTTAGATCTTTTTGGAGAGGGACCCTGTGCTGTTCATAGCCCCTGTACCTCGGAAGATCATCAGCACCGTGCCCTGCAGGAGCAAGACTGGAAGTCATCTCCGCGATCAGGCAAATAGACGAGGCACAATGAGGCGATCAGTCTGAAGGGCCGATTTTGTGGCATCTTTTGGCCAAGCTTCCGCGTACAAGATCAATACCCTTATCCTTCTTATCCTTGCTTCTTTTTTGCCTGACTATACAGCATGCTAGAGCATTTCCACCAGTCACATGTCGTTCAAGTGGGGTTGGAAGGCTCGAAGGTGGAAGGATGAAGGATCGAACTCGGCTCTCTTTGGCTCCACAGGAGGTCCGCAGCAGATCCGCTGCAGGGGACGCTGCTGGAAGATCAGGATGTTTGATCCTGGCACACTGAGAATGGTCGGTGACTTTAGTCACGACGCAGTGTGAAAGTGGCCGGTTGAGCTGGCAACCTTTGCATGTCCATGTGGATCCGGTGCGCATCAGTTCCTGGTTTTCACCTGCATGCGGCAGAAGAAAGCTGAACGATGCTGAACGTATATGCCCGAATCCACGGCAATTTCATTTTTCAGGACGGACGCCGGGGTCGCTGGAAGCGCCTCAGGCCTGAAACCGTCCATCCGGCTTGTTTCTGTCATGGCTCAGGGAGCTCCCCAATTCAAGAAAGGCGACATGACCAACTGGATGTGTCTCCATGAATTACATTGGGGTGAGAGAGGAAGATGCGCCCAGAAATGAAGACAGAGTGTGGCTCACGGCCGGCATGCATTCTTTTCCTCCAATTTCGCACTCTCACATGTCCAAACCTTAGAAGATCCACGAAGAAATCATATGCACAAAAGCAACCAAACCCTCCAGCACTTCAAGACTCGACCTTAAACGTATTATCGAGAGATCAGGAACGACCCTGAAGGCAGGCTTGTTCTTCCATTGTATTGGATCCTACTTCCCTTTGGAAGCGCCATGACTCTGACAAGTCGGAATAGATACCATCGGTTGTGCCACGAGTGCGCGACGCTCCGGGGTGTCTAAAAGTTTACGCCACACACCTGAAGGTGTGGAGGCTGAGCTGTCAGCAGCTCAAGCACGTAGGCGCTTTTCGCAAGGGGAGGCAGGATCCGAGTTCATGTTAAATGCCCGGCTTGAAGATTTTGACATATTTTGAGATGGATGTGACTGAATGTGACGTGTCGTATCTATATTCTATATATAAATGAAAAAGAGCCGTGTTCATGATTTCACGACTATCTTGTCCTCCCGCGCCGTGGCAGCTCGTCCACGGCCGAATGGCGGTGGTCAAGCTGCTGGTGCCGACCTGGCTGTAGGGACACAGATGCCTGGCAGCCGGGCAGATGAGGTTTGAGCATAGCTCATGCCTTTGGCTGAGTCCAGCCTATTCGCGAGCAAAAGTTGGTCACATAGATTGAAGTGGAGACAGACAGACCTGATATTTCATGACAAAAGGATTCGGATTCGGATTCTTTGTTTTATGGCTGTGAGGACTTTGTTCTGCAATCTTCACGACTGGTTTTGGCTCAACAGGGCTGGAGTGCTTTCTCATTGCCATCAGTGGACGCTCTCGAGACACACCTTGACAAGCACGAAGGATAGATGTATCATATTGTATGGGTGCCAGTCGACACCAACAAAAGGTGATAGGTGAATTGGGCCTTGAAGGGGTGCAAGGACTTCTTTACTCTACTGTCATTGCTTCCTTTACTTTCCTTTCAACTCTCTCTCTCTCTATCTCTGTCAATCTTATGAACAGCAATTTTCAGACTCGCAGGCAAGTTACAGGACTGAATTGGATTGAAAGAAGGCACGTGCACAGTCTCCATGGGCCTTGGCTGATCATGCCGCACCCACCCTACGCAGAGAGGTGCTGGACATGTTGCTTCAAGATTGAACAAAAGCACTAATGTTTACTCTAAACTTGCTACCGTCATTGCTCCATTGCTTTTACTGGCGCTATAGAGTCTTACCATCGTTATGCAAGAACTCATGGCAAAGGCATGAACAAACGTTGGGCTACGCGCTTCTGGCCACCGACGGTCCACTCACAGCTGCTGCTTCAGTATTTGCAAATTTATTTGTACAGGAACATTGCAAAATAGATCAAAGTTGCAACAGACAGGAGGAGCTGCATCCTTCACACTAGGATGATAGACGTGTATACACAAAATGGATCAAAATGGTGTGTTTTACACAATATATATATATATTTCTATGTAGTTGCGAAAGGATGTTTTCAAATGATCTCGGGATGGATGCCCACCTCAAAGATGCCGATCTCGAAGATCGAGGGGAGCTGCGTGGTGCTCGGCTTCACAGAGTTTGATACTTGGCATGCAAGGAGACGCAGTTCCTCAAGGGACGCCAGTGAAGCCTTCGCAAGCCAAGACGAACGCCCCAGCGACACCAAAACCCAAAGCGACTGATCCGAGTGCGCCTGCGACACCGGGGCTGTCCCAGTCTGGTCAGCCGACTCCAGGAGCCAAAGCAGCCGCGAAGGCTCCAAAAGTGAAGCAGGCCATCCCGCCAAAGGCGCAGTCCTCAGCTGAACCTCCACCAGCCACCACATCACCCCCGAAAGTTAAGACACCACAAGAGCCACCAACAAAGCAAGCACCTGCCAAAGCTTTAGCAAAACAACTAGATACAGCACCTGCCAAGGCAAAGGCTCAACATGTGGACTCAGCGCCTGCGAAGGTAATGGCAAAACCAGCAGCGCAAGCACCGGCCAAAGCACTGGTGAAACAGGCGGAGCAAGTGCCTCCCAAGGCAAA